CCCAGCTTTAATTTGGCTGATGCAGAGCAAAGAGCTCCAAACTCCTGCCCAAAATCTCTCAGGACTTCCGTACAGGGTAGGGAGCTATCTGCAACAGGATTTCCATAGACTTCGTTTTGCTTTTCATAGTCCTTCCCTGTGCAGCTGCTGACCTGCACTTTCTTGCAGGCACCACGGGGCAGATCACGGTCACCCAGGACGATGGACAAGTCATGGTGAAGCAGGGACACCCCTTCCAGACCACCTGCAAATACCACAGCACTAATTTAAGGAACTCCTCTGGTACGAGCTGCGGCAAGGCCAAGCCCCACAGCTGCTCTCCTATCAAGCAGGCTCTGGCCCCAAGCACAGCGGCCGGATCACCACGCACCTGAACACCACGGGGAAATACAGTGTCCTGAAGGTGGAGGAAGTGCAGCTCTCTGACACTGCCTTGTACCTCTGTGCTGTGACAGACACCCCGGTGCAGGGAGCGTCCCCGGCTGTGCAACAACCCAGGGGAGGGACGGAGGGAGGGGAGGTGTCTGTGCAGGGCTGAGGCTGGGAAAAGGACGCTGCGCTCAACCCAGGGCTCACCTGATGTTGCATCCCCACGGCTGTACAATGCTCTGATGATTTTGCACCACATCCATCCTAGCGAATTATCGAAAAAGTGTTTCTCATTGTTTTGACTCATCACTACATTGTGCAGAATCGAAGTAAAGAAAAATATCCCCTGTGCTTGCCTGGGACCTTGTCCTTGCACACTCCAGCCCTGCTTCTCTTGGCCCCACGCGGCCTCAGCAGAGCCCAGGGCTGGGTGTGTGTTCCTGCCTTGGGCGCTCCTGCAGCAGCCCACGGTCAGGGCAAGTGAAAGGTAAAAGTGCCTGGTTCACTAAGGCTCACATCACATCCATTTTCCTTTCAAGGGAAGAAAAAGGAAGGAGATATAGAAAGTACAGATTGACACCTATGTGTCAGTAGGTGATAAGGGACAGAAGGAGGGAGCTCAGAGCTCAACAGCCTCTAATTGATGGCCCTTTAGGAAACAGTAGCTGTGCCTGTGAATTGCCTGCCCTTTAGGAAACAGTAGCTGTGCCTGTGAATTGCCTCAGGCTGAGCTTTGTCACAGACAAGGGCTTAGAGATGATGAGAGAGGAGATGGAATCCTCAGCAATGGAGACACTGGCACTGATGTGTCTCTGGCATCAGCAGGAATGGTGGCAGGTTTCTCTTCTCAGCACAAATGCTGGCAGGAATCCCCATCTGCCTCTATGTGCCTTATCGTGTTCTCTCTGCTCTGAAGTGCAAGAAGGAAAAAGCTTTGAAGGAGCCCGTAGGATGGAAAACATTCACATGGAAAATCTGTGACACGCTCAGGACTCTCCACTACTTTAGAAACCTCCTTCTAAACCATGGGGAGGTGCAACAGCTGCATGAGAATGTTCCTGTTACAACCAATATCGTTACCATTGATATTACCAATTCTATTGGCAATAACAATCTGCATCATTATTCATATCATTCAAGAAGCTTTTTGTGATAACCCGTTGTGGAGAAAACCAAAAAGACTAGGAAGGAATCATTGCATTCGACATAGAAAAGGGGCTTGGAGAAAGGGACCTGAGAGAGAGGCATTCATCCCCGGCAGATGCACAAGGACAGGGGAGAAGAGACAGAGACAGAGACAGAGACAGAGACAGAGACAGAGACAGAGACAGAGACAGAGACAGAGACAGAGACAGAGACAGAGACAGAGACAGAGACAGAGACAGAGACAGAGAGACAGAGACGGAGGAGTCTCCTGTTCCCAGAGGAAATAGCAAGGACCCCAGACAGGGGAGAAAGATGAGTGGGGATGAAGGCCCTGCCCTCCCCAATGCCCGGCCCTGGCTGTGCAGCAGAGCTCGCCATTCCAGCTGGGGAGGTGAGGATTCCCCTGCGAGCTGAGCAGGAACAGCCCCTTGCCGTGAGTCAGGCCCCAGAGGCACGGAATGCTCCCAGTGCCAATGGCTCAGGGAGCCACGGCGGCTGCTGCTGGACCCGCGAGAAACCCAGAAGGAGCATTGCAGGCACTGCAAGGACAGCTCACGGCTCTGCCTGCTCCCGCCGCTGCTGCTTCCTCTGCTCCCCCAGAGAGGCGTTTCCAGCAGCTCGGCTGTCTCGGGGCTGCGCCGTGCTCCCTCACTCTTCCTCACTCAGCAAACACGCAGCTTGCTCTCGCCATGCACCTCGCCTCTCTCATCCTCACCCTCTTCCTGGGACAGCTCCTGGGTAAGTCCCGGCACTTCCCCAAGGCTTCTTCTTCTTCTTCTTCTTCCCCGCAGGAAACCCTCAACAGCCTTATCAGCACCATGTGGGGAAACAGGACTGAATAGAGGGAAAGGACTGAGAAATATCGGCTCCTCTTTGTGGTTCTGCAAGTGTTTCCTCAAGAAGATCTTCGATTTGAAAAGGGAGAGGGAAGAAGAAGAGAAATCTCAGACTGCTTTACTGTCTTTTCTCTTTCCTGCTGTCCATCTCCGTCTTCCTGGCTCTTCTGACCCTCCTGCAGTCACCTCAGAACGTCTCAGCTGCTTCTGCAATCCCACTGTCCCCTCTTTCTAATGTGAATTCCCAGGTCCTGTCAAATCTGCCCCAGGCACTTTTCAACTCTCATTTCACTGACATTAACAGGGTGTCCCGTTCTGCCTCCAGGCTCACACAGCTCTGCCACGGCTCCCAGTGCTCTCTGGGTTGGACAAACAACCAGGGTTCCTTCTTTCCAAGCTTACCATTGTATCTATTCAGGGATTGAAGAGCCCTCAGTGGTGACAGGGATGGGGAAGCAGGATGAACCTTTCTGCTGTGCCTCCATGGGCTCCTCAGGCAGCTGGAGGGGTGCTGCCTCCAGCACACAAAGTTCAGGCATGACAAGCGGTTCCCTGGTCCTGGGAGCAGGAGGAGCAGGAGCAGAAACACAGCCCAGCTCTCCTTTGGCTGATGCAGAGCAAAGAGCTCCAAACTCCTGCCCAAAATCTCTCAGGACTTCCGTACAGGGCAGGGAGCTTTCCTCAACAGAATTTCCATAGACTTCGTTTTGCTTCCCATAGTCCTTCCCTGTGCAGCCGCTGACCTGCACTTTCTTGCAGGCACCACGGGGCAGATCACGGTCACCCAGGACGATGGACAAGTCATGGTGAAGCAGGGACACCCCTTCCAGACCACCTGCAAATACCAGAGCAGTGTTTCAGCTGCCTTGTCCTGGTACGAGCTGCGGCAAGGCCAAGCCCCACAGCTGCTCTCCTATCAAGCAGGCTCTGGCCCCAAGCACAGCGGCCGGATCACCACGCACCTGAACACCACGGGGAAATACAGTGTCCTGAAGGTGGAGGAAGTGCAGCTCTCTGACACTGCCTTGTACCTCTGTGCTGTGACAGACACCCCGGTGCAGGGAGCGTCCCCGGCTGTGCAACAACCCAGGGGAGGGACGGAGGGGAGGTGTCTGTGCAGGGCTGAGGCTGGGCAAGGGACGCTGCGCTCAACCCAGGGCTCACCTGATGTTGCATCCCCACGGCTGTACAATGCTCTGATGCTTTTGCACCACGTCCAACCTAATAATAATTTGAGAAAGTACCTTTGATAATTTTGACTCACCGCTGCATTGTGCAGCCTCAAAGTAAAGAAAAATATCCCCTGTGCTTCCCTGGGGACGTCCAGTCCCTGCACACTCCAGCCCTGCTTCTCTTGGTCCCACACGGCCTCAGCAGAGCCCAGGGCTGGGTGTGTGTTCCTGCCTTGGGCGCTCCTGCAGCAGCCCCGTTTGCAGGGACACGCGTGAAGCACAGATTTATTTGGGTGTGGCTCCAGTGTGGTGAGCAGCGAGCTGTGTCTGTCCGGGTGTGTGTCCCTCATCGGGAGGGAATTTCCTGACTGGGCCAGGGACCCTGAGCTCGGCTCTGGCCCTGCTCAGCACAGAGCAGCAGCGTCGCAGGCTCAGAAGGAGCCCGAGTGCAGCTGAGCGGGGCCGGCAGCTGCCCGCTACACATGTGTGCAGGGCAGAGGCGCTGAAATGCAGCCCCTGCGTGCTGAGCCCTCCCTTTGCTGCCCCTCCAAAGCTCCCGCTCGGCCCATGCCGATCTCGGGCCCAACAAGGACGCTTTCAGTGCAGCTCGGCCGCTCGGCTGAACTCAGCACAAACAGCACGGCCGGGGCCCCAGCACGGCTCGCAGCCCCCGTGGCCTCGGCCCCAGGCGGGACACAGCCGCTCGCAGCAGCGCTGCACAGGGCAAAAGGAGGAGCTGTGCCTTGTGCGCACGGACAGAGGCTCGGCAATGCTGCCGCCCGTGTGCTGCCAGCGGCGGAGCGGATCTGCTTCCCGTGCGCTGGCGCTGGGCTGTGCCATGGGACACAGCCGCCTCTTGGGCCCGGCCGTGCCCCAATTGCTGCGGCGCTCCTGGGGCCGGGGCTCGGAGAGGCGGGGGCTGAGCCCGGCCGGGGCGGAGCTGGCGGCGGCCGACAGGAGGCGGCACGGCCGGAGCACAGAGCCGGGGCTCAGGGGCCAGCGACGCTCGGCCGGCGGAGCGGCGGCATG